GTAAAAAGAATCTGTAATATAAATGTAAATTTTAATAACAGTAATATATCTATTGCAAGTAAGTATTTATTTATTTTTGAAGTGAAAACTTCTTTAGCGGCGTTGTACCTCCACTTTTTAGGAATGGGTAAAAAATGTTAAACTCGCGTCAGGACACGTGACCTGATCGAAAATTCGTAAGACGGATGGATATTAGACAGCTGGCGCGGCGTATTTAATGTATTATAAATTGTCATTTGTGTACGATAGCGCAATAAATAAATATTGTATTCTACCACATAAATGATAGTACTTTTATACTGATAATTAAAGCAATTCGTGCAAAATTATTCCCTAACCATTCCAAAATATCAAAAATGCACAACGTTAATATTCAAGTTTTCACTACTGCCGGCACTCCCGGAGTACAACCCGTGGTTTTTTTTTATTAACACTTCGTTGCATAATACTAAAAAACTTTTTATTGCATTAAAATAATTAAATAAAAAGTTATTTACTTAGGAGAGCGACTGGCGACCTAATCGATTACGAGCAACCACTTATTACTTATTATTGTTGCACTGAATATTCTACCCCATACACTAATTAAATAATTATGCAAAACGCATAATAATGACTTTTTCAAACACAACGCAATAAATGCCTATCATCGTCACTAAACCACAATAATCCACTGTTGTAAAGTAATAAAGCTAATTTCATATATTAATTATATATATGGGTGTTTCTCTGCTATTTGGAAACTCGCCCATACAAGACTGTCCTAAGAAAATTTTTTTAGATGTTGAGAATGTTTGTTAATAAAATTAAAGACAATATTAAAATAAATATATCTCTTAGAAAGGCCCACTGATTTTCGTCCCGGTTTTTGAGTTATCAAACGATTTTATCCAAAAACGTGACAGGGGACTGTTGTAAACGCACAAGGGATTGTTTTTATGAATAAAAACACGAATTTTAGTATGAAAGTAATCAATTTTAATGCGTAGTTCTTACATATACTTACTTAATATGACAATCAACATTCTTAGTATTTAAAACAATTGTACTATTAAAGTAATTGGCATTAATTTTACAATGTCTTCTATAAAATTAGTCTTAACATGGCATTTCAGGAAACTATCTTAAAAATTATTATTTCTCAAAAACAGAAACGGATATTGGAAAATAATCTTCTCCCTTTTAGAGTAAGATCTGGTTGTGGTAATTTCTGCAGTATTTGGTCAAAACTGATATCAGAAATATCATCTTCATCCATTTTGAACTTGTGGCCTTTATCATCACAAATTTTCATAAAAAATACTTTCGTTAGTTCGCCATCCTCATCGTGTACTACTATACTACTACTACTATTTTTTGACGTTCAAAAGAGCCATTTTAGATGGTCTAATTGAAATAAATGATTTGACTTTGACTTTATAAATAACAGCAGCATAACGATATTCCGTGTTTCTGCCATTAAACCTAACTAAAACGTAATCACCATTTTTGTAATGCTGTTGGCTGCTTGTACTAGGCCCTGAAGTATTGTCAGAATTAGTAATAAACTTGTCATACGGTCGTGGAATTTCGGTTTCTGGAATAATGTTATTATCCGCGGAGAAATCGGCTGGCCTGGTTTCATCTTCGGAGTCTGTGTAGTAGACGTCGAGTCGAGTTGATATCCCCTAGGTTAAAATGTTGGCATTCTTCTTCACAGCAGCTTAAACTTTTCATTATAAGTTTTTCAGTGCTTTGTAGTAGTCCCAAACGACATCTTGATATGTTACCCTTATTCTGATGTATTTTAAGAGTGCCATTGAAACCTTTCAGGCATCATTCTGAATATCGTTAGTCATATATTTTATTGCAGCATCGTCAATTGCAAAGATTGTAATAGCAGGACATTTTTGTACAGCATCTATAAATGAATCCAAACTAACTATGTCACCTCCTGTAGCAACAATGCCATCTGCAGTTCTTTTGCATGTAGTGCCAACACCATCTGCGGTCCTCTTTCCACGGCCACTCTCTCTAAAGTACCAGGAAGACGTCTTCATATTTTGGACCTCTACATGAAGCTTTGAAGCTAAAATATAAAACGTCGCTTTGTTTCGATATTGTGTTACTGGTCCGTCGCTCCTCCAAAATAAATGCCAGTAACATGCGTGGGTAAAGTTTTGAAAATAGGTTTTAATTGTTCCCGTTTAAGTGTTCTCATCAAACGTTCTGCTATACGTTTTTTTCTATTATTTCTTCTCGTGTTTTGGCTGGTTTCTTTTTGGGTGGCATATTGAGATACTTCCTAAGGAAGAGACAATAATATTGTTAATGATTTTGATCATAAATGTGCAAACTGGCATCTCAGACTTGAGAAAACCCACAGAAAACAGTCCCCTGCGTTATAAAACAGTCCTCTGTGCTATGAATTGACAGGGGACTGTCGTCCAGGGTACTGTCATTTTTACCTGTTAGTTTAATAAAACATGATTTTTTACACTTATCACATTCACGAAATAAAATGTGGCTACATACTTTATAATCACTTAGATGTAAACAAATATTTGTAATTAAAACTCTTAAAATAGTAAAAAAATGGCTTACCAGTGGACTGTTTTTTGTAACGGCCGAGACTCGTTGTTCACTGAAAGACTTAGTGGTGACACTAAAAAAATGGCGACTGCTCTATGATCTATACACCCAAAAGAACTTCGCACTGATTGCGTTCCGTTTCACTAGGTTAACGTATAGCACCAATACAAAATTTGACTTAAGTGCGGTTTTGAAATGTTATCAGGGGACTGTTCAAAAATTTTGAGGACAGCATTCACGTATTGATTTTTTACTCAAATTTTTATAGTTAATATATAATTGTGATTTATATAGATGCTTACTGTTTTATTTAAGGTATTTCAATATTTTTTATTCAATTATCAACGACACAAAAAACAAAAATTGGTTCAAGACTTATAATTTGAGAAATGGGACATACCAGGGGACTGTGTTTTGGGGTGTTTGAGGTTGATTTAATCAGATATTACATTATTAAATTACTAAATAAACTGTGGCGTGTCAAGAATACATAATAATATGTCATTATTCATACAAAAAACGAAGAAATATTTAGAATTATTGTATAAAATTTGCTTAGGACAACGATTTTCCACTTAGTAGAGAATAGCCCATATATATATATATATATATATGTAACATATATGGCTAATACCTAACTAATAATGTGCCACGCTTCGCTGACATGATTGAATGGTTGGCACATTATTTGAGAAATGAGAAACAAAACAAAGAATACATTACATATAACTTTAATTATTTAATTTTGCAAAACTTGTAGAAAAAAAACGATGCGGATTATATCTCATGATAAAATTTCAGCTGGCGTACGTTTCAGAAGCGTACAAAACATAACATTTATAAATATAGATTATAATTCTTAATTTTGTTACTTATAAGTGTGTGACTCTCATCTGACGTCGTGCATTCGAATCACGGCACTGATGGAGCACAGCTGTAATAGATGAAGCTAACCACTGTAAAATTATCGTAAATTCTAGAAACCTCGATCTACGTACCTCAAGTTAAGTAGCGAGGTTATCTGGTAGTTAATAAACATATCCCGTCTAATTAAACAAACAAATACAATTCACAAAACAAAACAACTCGAGAAGTAATGTCTAGAGTGTAAAATCACAAGCTAGGTGAAATCATCTTCACGCGGTCGTATCAGCTGATGAATTTTGGCATTTTCCCAAAATCCATACGAGCACAAATATTTTAGCTACGAGCTGGAACATTTAGATTTTAGAGGAAATAAATAAGAAAAAAGTACACATGTCAGAAGTGAAACTTCTTTGGCACACTAATATACTATAATATACATATAAAAGTGTCGAAAATTACTACAAATATTTTTTTTTTTTAATTTATTTATTCGATAATAAAAACACGTGGCATTTTTATATACAATTCGTCATTTGAGATTTCAATAAATAATTTTGCATAAAATATAAAATACTAATATTTCATAAATCCTCTATACGAAATTTTAATTTTAAAAATATAATTTCTATAAAATTCACCCTTCCCACTCTCTCTCAATCGTTCTCAATCTCTCTCTCCCTTTTCTTCGACAAAAACGCTGCACATCTTCGTGACGTATCCGTAAAAATTTTACCCTCATAAGCCTAAAAAAATTTCACTTCAATAACATCCTACATCAAATTGATAAAAACACTTTTAAAATATTATATCACTGTACTAGATAATTGTGATCTTATAAGCCAGTCTGAAAAGTTAGACCCACAAGACGCCGACAAGTATAAAACTTTGCTACTTGTTGCCTACAAGTATAATAATTCCATATTTAAATTTTAAAATAGTCTGTTCATTTTTTAACCATCAAATTATTTTAAAATTTCACATCGCACTAGGTATAAATCGTAGAAATCAAAAATTTATCACACAATAAAAATACATGTACTAGTATAACCTACAAAATGTTGATAACATTGTAACAGATAAATAAAACAAAATTAGGTGGAATTAAGCGATGAAGTAAATTTACTGATAATATACAATTTATCACACATAATTCGATAGTCGGTATACATATCTACAAATGAGTATGGCGTTCGCTCGTGAAAAAAATCTAAGAAAATATAAGAAACTGACACTAAGCATCTCACGTTTAGATAAAGTCAAGAAAGTCGAAGCACAATTTACGCGTAAGCACCAGAAATTTCAAGACCAAGTAGGACCAAGATAACATTGTAATCATTGATAATAATAAAGTCAAAAGGATTCACTAAGAAGATTTGAATATTACAATCAAAATGTTTAAACTTAATGCTTGCCTTTGTTATAAAAGCAATCCCAAAAAATTATTTAACGATAACTCAAACAAGAATCCAAATCATCAATACATATTGTAAAATAAAATATTCGCTAGCCGTAAGGATGCAATTCCCCATGTTAACAGTTAAGTATCAAATACATAGATAAACTTACATGAAATCCTCCAAATCAACAACACTGGTAAACTGGCAGGGTTCACCGCCAACATTGTAGCACATACTATCGTAATCCCATTCTTGTGACTGGCGACAAGGCAATGCTTGCATGAACTGTGGTGCAGGCTTTTGTGGGTAACATACATTTATCGGGACACTGGGCTGAACATTGTTTACGGTTGGACAGAAGTATTGGATTCCGGGATCACGAACATAATAGTCAGCTTGATAGCGCTGATTCGAATAATCACCAATCACATTGCAAGCGTTATAATCGCAAATGTTTTGCACAGGCGTCCATTGAAAATTTGAGCACTCTCCACTCCAACCAGGTACCGAATCTTGTGGTAGAGGATCACCATTCACCAACATTTTGGCGAAAGCGTTAGCACAGAATTAACAATAAAACAGTCCATCGGAGTACATAATCATCGTCCGACTGATAGGGCAGATGTACTTATCTTGACTTGTTAATATACGTATAGTAGCAAAAAATGATAAGTCTCATAAGATAACTGTAAATACGAAAGATTATTTATGTCCTCGGCTTACAAAAGTATTAAGAAAATTTACAATACATTTTTTTATTGTATGAAAATTTTGAAAATGCTGGAATACAATTCTTGCACAACTGTTTAAATATGACGCATTATCAGTTACTGAAATGCTAATAATTGGTAATAAAATATTTAAAGTGCTAGACAAATGAATACACGTACAATTAATGTGAATTCTAGGGAATGCAATCTCGAGTCGAGATTGTCAATTCGAGATCACGTGGTATTAAGAATTACAATCTCGCGAGAACTCGGTATTTTCGAGAAAACTGAAAACTACCTGATAGTTTTCAAAAACCAAATGTTTAAATTACACTAAACACAAGGAAAAGGCTGTGATGAAGATGTGTTTTTGAGGTTAGTTAGGATTCGACAATATTTTAAAGAAAAATAAGTATTGTTACTCATATTTATTATATCTGTTCCAGGTTCCTATTATCTTTTGTCAGTCGCTATGTACCCAACAGCTTGAAAATGCCCTCTGACACTCAACCATAATTGAATGCGCTGCAACGCGCAATAAGCGAACAGAAAGCTCGAAAAGAAACCCCCTGTAACCCCGTAATACTTGCTCCACTACACTATATAGATTCATCTCTTTTTTTATGTTACAAGGCAAAATATGAGGCAAACGGGCAGGAAGCTCATCGGATGTTAAGTGATACTGCCCCCCTATGGACACTCACAGTGCCAGAATGCGCAAGCGCACTACCGGCCTTTTAAGAATTAGTACGCTCTTTTCTTGAAGGACCCTGAGTTGAATTAGTTCGAAAATACTTTAGTGGCCAGCTGGTTCCACAAAGTGGTGGTGCGCCCAAAAATTGTTAAAGAAACGCAAATGATCTTTATGAACGATTTATGAGTGAATCTATCTAATCTCACAGAAACACTTGATTTTTTTCTGCTCTCGGATGCTCCTAACGAAAAGACATGTTGACATAGCAGCAGCACGTAAATTCAAATCCTCTGCAATGGTTGAAAGAGGCAATTCAGCGTTTTCTGTTGCGGTGTGTGTAGTCTCATTGTCGCGTTTAAAAGGGTATCTGACGTATATTATATTTACTAGGCAAATGGACAATTTAATCGCCTTCAAAGTCATCTTTAAATCCCTGGATTCAACGCCTCGAGATACGCTTGTTCATGGAAGAGATTAATTTTCTGATACTACTGACAAGTAATCTCGTCATATTTCGCTTCGGTATTGATCTCGAACAGTGGCACGAAATCTCGCGGGATCAGGATTGCATTCACTAGGGAATTACTGAATTTCTTTTGAGAGTATATAAAACAATAAAGGAATTAGTCGAGATCACCACCATAGACACATCTTTAGTTTTACTGGAGGGAATGCACTTCCGCAGAGCGTGGGACTCGGTTTAACAGCCCTTTTCACTAAACTTCTCCCACATATTACGTCATTGGTGGGGAAACTTGGGTACGGTTTAGCATTCTACCAAGAGACTCTATCACTAGCTGCTACATTCTTCCATTAAATTGGTATCGCTCTACAGTTCTTTAATTACAGTAAGGTTGCAATTTCTCCCACCTGCATGTTCTCGCTTCCTCACATTTTGCAGATTTGTGTTCCACTATGCCGCATCTATACTTCATATTGCTACAGTCCACAGTGGTGCCTTACTTTCAAACATTTGCAACAGCTCAGAGGGCGAGCTTTTACACACTACCTGCAGCAAACTCCATCGAATTAGACATTATCCTTCCACAATTATTTTTGCTATTGCAACCGAGCATTGAATAAGCGAACTTCTTGTGCTGTATCCTTTTCAATCCCTGTCCACCTTATTAACTCTGCTGCACAGTTTTCCTTATTAGGGAAGCAATTACACCCTCAGCAGTAACAATAGCGTCGAGCGTTCTTCTAACTCTCGTCATTATAGTTACCGCCACTTTCAATTTAGGCAAGTAACTTTGCCTTTTCTTTATTAGCCTCGCCATCTTTCTCAATAAGACGCCTACCGGTACATGTATAGCCTGACTGAGAGTACTGTAACTTCCAAAAGCAACAGAAATATTGAGTTCTTGTCGAATCGATAATCGACATATATAATCATGGCCATTAAAGCGCCTATACCAGCCAATTAGAAACATAATATACTTGCGAATATAATCAGCTCACTAAAACCTATTTATTTCGGAAGGGAGACAGTAATAATGTAGATTAAAGGCGTTTACACTTTTTAATTTAAACAAAAATTTTTTTTTTTTTTAAAAAAACCCTTTTTTTTTAAATGAGAATCTTATCTAAATATTTTTTTGTATGATATTGTAAATAATCTATAGTTTCCCCGTTTTTGTGTACGCTAATCAAACGTTCAAAGTACAACTTTCAATCGTCGTATGAAATTTAAATATTTATAAGTCCATAGAATGCGACTAATATTGTGTAATGGAAAACCTTGGTATGTAACCTGCTTTATGTACCGTCTCTGTGTCTTTTTGACTGTCTACAATAATATTTAACAACAGTTAAAACAAGAACTTTAAGTTCTATTCCGGGTTTTAGTTTATTTTTTTTCTGGATCGTATCGCGCTCTTAACCACAAATAGCATATCCGAGTAATCGATAATATACGTAGTAACATAGAGTCATCCTAAGTCTATTTCAATTTATCTCTAAGCTTATGAAGTTACTATGCTAAATGCAACAGGAGATATGAAATGTATATAAATTAATTTGAATAAAATATTTCAATAGTAAATTCCAATAATAAAATATATATACTCGACCACAAAATTCACCAAAAGCGATAAATAATAGTGTATTTTTTGTATTGATTTGCCTGTATGTTATAAAAGTATAGTATAAAAGATCCCATCTACAATCCTCTCTTTTAACACTCCGATTACCCAGTTTCAGATGGGTCTATGGAAGAACAAGCTATGCATAAAATACACAAAAACATTCGAGTTGTTAGACATTCGAGTAGTAGTGCCCATGCGTCGAAAAAATTGACGTGAGTGAGTCCGTTGAACTTTCGGTAACTTCTGGAAACGTTATCTTAAAATTACGTTACATTAATTTTACGAGGATAGCAGTGCCTTTAAAATAATATCCTGTCGCAGTCAATTTCTCATATTTTTAGTTTTACTTCAATATTTGAAAAACACGCCATTCATTTACCATTTAGATTTATTCCTGCTTTCTTCTATTTATATTAGTTAATTAATTTTGTTATTTAAACAATATTTATCTAGATGTCTATAGTATATTAAACTCAAGGTTTTTGTATAAGTGTTAATTATGTTTATGTCCGAAGAGTTCACGATCGAATAAACATCGAATGGATCAGACTAGTGAATCAGGAAAATTCCACTGTATGTGGCTATTAATGTCCCTTTAAAACTTTTGACCTAATTCATTTTAGCTTGGAGACGTATTATTACGTAAACGATTGACTTTTACTACCCTACCTACGCTAAAAGCGTAAAGCTAATACTAGTAAAGTAATTATTGAGTAATTTCTTTAAATCATTTTATAGAGTAAGGTGAGTTTAAATTAAAATCCGTTGAATTTGAATTCACTTACAGGATTGTCTTGGGTTAACCAACAGAAGAGTTGGTCCTAAAGGCAAAGACAATTAAACATCCGTATAATAGAAGTCAATATAAAAGAGTTTTAGATCAAGATCTAGTGATGCTACTAAACTTTATCCAGCCGAATGTCCTAACACACATTCAATTTAGGTCTAAGATATCCCAAACTGCTTGAGGTCCTACACTATTAGTTACTGTAAAAACTGATCAGAACAAGAATAATCAATGTGTTGAAGACCGAAGAACTGAAGCAATTAACTTTGTATGTATACTATAACCCAACTAATACTGCTTTATTACTTAGATTTTTGTACTCTTAAGGGTCTTTTTACCCATATGTATATTTTTTTTAATGTAATATATTTTATTTATATTAATGTTGCATTGTGGCAAATGTGGCAAAACTTTAATCATACATAAAATAATTGATAATTTATGATTTAAATGGTAATGTGAAGAGAGAGTAGAGCAATTTGAGGTAAATTTTTCAATTAATTAAATTTCAATAACAATTCATTTCACACATACAGCCATTGCATTAATAGGATATGAAAATAGATACCACTAATTATTTTTATCTATAACAAAGTTAATATTCATTATATGAAGAAAATATAGCATAACACAACAAATATTATAGTTATATTTATCATAAGTTTTCATAACTAACCTTTTATCAAGCTTTCAAAATAAAAGCTATTACAATTTAGTTTTTGCTATTATTTTGTATTCAGTTCATGCTATTTTCAGGTGAATACTTTGTTTGTTTTTGTTTTAAATCCTACATAGCCCATATTATTGGTTTAAAGGATTACTATTATGTTTATAAAAGGTAGACATTGAACAACCTATGCAATAATAATAGATTCTTTGATTGAGGACAAAAGGATAAAGGAAAGTAGTTATAAGTATTGTTGGAAGTAATAAAAACATAGAGAATGTTCAAAACCATAAAATATAGCAATAAAATAACTAAGTGTTTAATGACATACTTATCAAATATATCACTAGACTTTCTTGACGCACTTTGCTTGTTTAAGATTATTTCCATATGTAGTTGGTGAGTGACACATGTTATATAATTCAAATAAGGCACAATTTGTAAAAAAAATATGAAATTTTAATGTATTAGTAATTTAAAAGGAGTTTTTAAAAGATACTACATTAAACTCTGGGATCTAATAACAAGGGACATACAAGTATTATGTAAGCACTATAGGGGGAGGGAGTCTTTGATTTTACTTTTTGGTGATGACGTC